TTGTAAAAGATTAGGGGAAAACACATAAAAATTTGGAACGATTCTTCATTTCTTCACAAGTGTCTTTAATTTCTTCCTATGTTGTAAAGAAACCAAAGCTGCAAATTGTGATGTATTATGTGTGGTTTTTGTAGGAAAGAACAATGAGACTCCTTCTTCAGACCCATATTCAAAGAAAAGGCTTCAAAAGATTGGTGAATGTGTACATATAGATGTATTTTAAGTTGGAACAAAATTAATAAATAAATGTCTGTATTTTCTTTTTTTTTAGAGAGAGATCTTTTTGCTATAGGGTGTGTGTACTCGCCCAAGAGACAGAAAACAAGAAATTCCCTGGGGGGATGATGGCCACACCACAGCAATCCCTTCTTCTCCAGTCTCTTCTCAAGATTTTTGGCATGTATACACACTCTCGCCTGGCATGAGTTTTAAGCCACCAGGTCTGGGACTCAAACCACAGTCAACTACGTGGAAGTCCAGTGATGTAACCATTATGCCATCTGCTGGTCCCTGTATTTTCTTTTTAAATGATTGCTATCTTAACTACCTTTCCAGAGATTTGATTAACCAATGGTTAGGATCTCACTGAATAAGATAGTTTCTCTGCTGCTATCCATTAACTTTGAACAAATGTCCTTTGGTTTCCATGACTAAAAAATATAGTTTTGCCCATTATTGCATTTTGTAATCGAAGTTGGGTAAGTGGTTATGTCACTGGACTCCCACAGGGCGGAGCATGGTTAGAGACCCAGACTTGATGGCTTGAAACTCATGCCAGACATGTGTGCATATGTGCCCAAGCTTCCAGGAGGAGAATGGAAGAGAAAGGATTGTGGCATGGACATCCCCCCAGGGGGTGATTTTTCCCTTTCCTCCTCACTGTCTCTGTCTCTCTCTCTGTCCCCCTTGAGAGTGCACACACTGTAAGGCAAAAACCTCAAACAAAAAAAAAAAAAAAAACCCTGCTTAAATTAGTGAACTACGTGTGGGGGCTTGTAAATTTTCACTGAAATTTGCATAGTAATATTTCTTGAAGGATAAGAATGTATCAAGTGTCCTATTATCTATGAAATAAGTTCATTTGTTAAGCTGATGTGTGAGGGTTTGGCAGAGGGAAGTAATTCAGTGATGTCATCATTCTCACAGCTAGAGGTGCATACTGTGATTTATAGATGCATCATGACATAGAACGATGACATTAGGCTGGTAAATAAATGACTTGACTTCTTTGCCTGGCTCACCAATCACCACCAGTCAATGGAGAATGTGTTCCCAACTTGCTGGCAGTGAGCAGGCATTTGTAAGTTAGTTGTTTTTTAGAGGTAGGGAATTAATGCACACTCTAATACTCTGCTTACAGCCAATACACACACAGGCTGGCTGACTGACTAGAAAAAGCAGTTTCACTGTAACCATATGTATAAGAAACTCATGAATCTTAGTCTTTTTTTTTATCACCAGGCAGAATTTTCAGTACATATAATAACCAAACATGACATTATTACTAAATACAAAGGAATCTCTCCAAATTCCTGATTTCATAATGAGCACATAATTATTATCTGCAGTATGGCCTGACTTTATAAGTTTGTTCTTTTGTTATTTTCTTTCTTTCTAAAAATATTTTTGAGAGTCTACTGTGTACCACATGCTGTTCTAGAATTGAGGATCCTATAGTGAATACATCAAAGAAAACCCTGCTGTTGTAAAAATGAAATTCTAGTAGAGAAAACATACACACACACACACACACACACACACACACACACACGTTTATTAAGGGCACAAAAAAACGAGAAGAATGGAATACTGTTAGTTGGAGGGTGGAAGAGATGTTGAAATTCTGACAGGGCCACCAGAAAGGCCTCCCTGAGATTATTTCTTTAGTATAAATGTCTAAAGGAAAAACATGGTCTGGAAGAGGTAGTAGTCTCAGACATTTTTAAGTGTTGTTAACCTGAGGTCAGTGAGTTTGTTTGGGGGAAAACAGCAGTTAATTTTTACTAATTTTAACTGAAATTTAGCATTTCTTCCAGTCATGAAAAGAAGTAAGCAACTGGAATAATGTTAGAAGAACTCATGACTGTATTATAGCTAGCTGTCTCAGAGGCTATCATGGCACATTGGCAGTTGTTACAGTCATCTCAAAGTGTAAGCTCATCAACTGTAAGTATGGTAGTCACCATCCCTGCAATTAAATATTTGATATTTAATCCTTAATAAAGGGGAACATATATTGTTATTTTTTAAATATATGTATTGACAATTAAATTTCAAAGTAATCTATTTTTTCATATTTCTACATATTATAGCTTATGAATTTTAAAACATTTTAAGAAAGAGATTAAGGCTTCACTACGTTGCCAAAGGAGGTTTATGGCACAGAAATGTTATGCTCTAGCTTAATCACTAATTAAGGGTTTTCTTCCAGGTACAGCCACTTTTCATTTGTTTCCCACTCTTCGAGATTTCTCAATACATCCTGAACAGATGGAGAGGGTTTCTGGATAATTCCTTAGAGTTCTGATTGTGAAAGATTCTTTTTCACTTCCTCTTTAATCCACACACTATTGAAATATTTGCACAATATTATAGCTAGTGGACAGAAATTTGGCTTGCTGTAAAATGACAGTGTAATACTTTACAGAAGATTAGCTTGCAGACTTTTCTGAAAGACAGTCAAGAGACCTTAAAGGCAATGCAGTTCATTTTTGGGGAAAGAATAAGAAGTAGGAATTCTAACTTAAAATCAGCTCCTGTTCTCTCACATCAGCCTTTAAGCCAATTCCTGCTTGTCCTGATGTTGACCAAGTAGACCTGTCTAGATTGAGAGGCTATGGGTTTAAGACTGATAGCTTGGGGAGGAGGGTAGGGGTTGAGAATGGGAGGCCCTGGATTATGGGCTGTGGCAGTTCACAGGGACTCCACTGAGGTGGCTACAGGGCTGATGTAAAACTACTCCAGTTCCCGTGGAAGCAACGTAAAATTCCTAAGAACATAATGGATAGAGAGGAGAAAACTTATGGTGGCTTTGAAGGCCTGATGCCACGTATGGTCAAATTGATATCTTCTGATGGTCACGAATTTATCGTAAAAAGAGAACATACACTAACATCAGGAACAATAAAAGTCATGTTGAGTGGCCCAGGTCAGTTTTCTGAGAATGAAACCAATGAGGTCAATTTGAGAGAGATCCCTTCGCATGTGCTATCAAAAGTATGCATGTATTTTACCTACAAGGTTCACTATACTAACAGCTCCACAGAAACTCCTAAATTCCCAGGTGCACCTGAAATTGCACTGAGATTGCTGATGCCTGTGAACTTCTTAGATAGTTAAATAAAATAAATTATAATAAACTGTTAACTATTTTCAGTATTTAATACCTGTAGTTGTTAATAATTTTTTCATATTTAGCATGTTGCCTGTATGCAGTTGAATTGTTGAAGTTTATTGCAAAGCAGATTATCCTCTGTTTCTTTGCATAGCAATCAGAGTTGAATTTGTTTGCTACATCAACAAATTAAGGACGTTTGGGGAACCAGCAGTTAGCGTAATGGCTATGTCACTGGACTCGCACGTAGTCGACCACGGTTCGTGTCCCGGACCCGGTGGCTTAAAACTCACGCCGGGCGCGAGTGCGTGTGTGCCCAAGATCCCAAGAGGAGAATGGAGGAGAAGGGATTGCGACGTGACCATTCCCCCTGACGGGGTGATTTCTCGCTTTCTGTCTCTTTGTCTCTCTCTGTCTGTCTGGCAAGTGCACGCGCCCTATAGCGAAAACCTTTCCAAAAAAAAAAAAAATGAAGGACGTTTTCACATAGTAGTGAGAAATAAACAAGTATGCCAATTAAGAAAAAAAAAAAGACTGTGATAGCTTTACCTTGACACTAGCTATGGAAAATCACATGTTCAACAAACATACATGTTCACCTATATTAGCAATGTAACCACAGGAATAAAACTGAGAGCTTCTTCAGCAACTGAAAAGGGAGGGTGATGACTGGCTGAATAGGGACTCCAGAGAATTATACTCTGATACCACATATTCTGCATTTTATATCCCCCTGAATATTTATTCTGCTGCCTTCCACAAAGAACGAAAAAATCAAGCACAGCCAGAGTGGCACAGCCCACTTTGAAGTCACTAGACTCAGCAGGCTGGGACCATGTGGAAGGCCCAGATTCAGTTTCTATCCTAGCCTAAAGGTAGGAGTGGTGGCATGTACTAGTAATCAGGAAGGCCAAGGCAGGGGTATCACAAGATTGAGACTAACCTGGCCAACATAATGAGACCCTATCTTAAAGAGTTGGGGGTCAATTCTGTAGCACAGTGGGTAAGTACTGTGTAGAGGAAGCTGGAGCCCACATTGCTGACTGGGGTTCAAATCCTCGCTAAAACAGCAACATGCCAACTACATACTCATGTGCCCAGGATCCTAATGGGATGGAGAATTGGAATAAAAAAGGATGGCAACAAGACTCGGCTCTGTTGAGGTGTGCTTCCTCTCTCAAGCATGCACATTCACCTTCTGGCATATCATATATATTTACATTGACTAAAGAGCTGGGCAAGGTGGTACATGTAGTCCCAGCTAGAGGATCCTAGTGTTGGCAAGCCCTTTTCTTAAATACATAAATAAATAAATCAATCAATAAAGAAGAAAGAAGAAAGTTTTAAGTAAAAAGTACTTTTTTAAACTTTTGATTACTTAAGAACAAATAATCAACAAATAAATTACAAATAAATAAAGTAAACATTTTAAACATTTCGATTGTCAAAAACCTGGGAAAGAAAAGTGTTAATTCTAATTTTCACATGAGACAGACTTTACGCTTGTGGTTAATATGTGGGGAAGTTGATTCACTGTGTCATTCAAACCTCTTAGATTATATCGTCACTTGTGCCATTTGGCTCTGATAAATAAGCTAACCTTAAGAAGTGTAATGAAAGCTGTGGGTCTTGTGCACTCATTGACACGCTTTATTTTCCTTTGCAGGTTGGTGAAAGATGCTCCTTGGGATGAGGTGCCGCTTGCTCACTCCCTGGTTGGTTTTGCCACTGCTTACGACTTCTTATACAACTACCTGAGCAAGACACAACAGGAGAAGTTCCTTGAAGTGATTGCCAATGCCTCGGGGTATATGTATGAAACTTCATACAGGAGAGGATGGGGATTTCAATACCTACACAATCATCAGCCCACCAACTGCATGGCTTTGCTCACAGGAAGTCTGGTTTTGATGAGTCAAGGTACGAGTGGACCCAGCTGAGCTGAGGTCTTAGCTGGCAGCAGTTGTAGCTGCCATGCTGTGAGAAAAGCATTTTTATCATTTTTCTTAGGTGCATGTTCATACTTGGATCCTAAGCCCACGAGATGAAGTAATACCTAGGGCATCTCTTGGTGGCTTGGAGGACATCTCTTTCCTAATACCTATCATTTGTATTAGCCTGTAGGTTCTGTAATTATAGTTTATGATTAATTAAATCCTAGGTTATATCTTTATAGCACAGAGCCAGAGTGGAGTATTGATGTTTCCAGAGCATTCTGACAGTGAAGACAGCCAGCCTAGAATAAATGGAGTTTGTAAAACATATACTGTACTATTTGAAAGTAATATTCCTAGCACACAGATGTGAATCATAACAGCACTATTCTTTGTTTCTCTCAAGACTTAAAACATTCAATGTTGGATGATTTTCATCAAAACTGCAAGTAATTCCTGTGGATTGTATAGCCACTTTGCTTTAACATATTACATAATTACCAATATTTAATTTTCTGTGTTTGTATAACTGTCCCTTAATTACAACTCCTTTGGAAATCTACAAATGACTAAGACCATATTTCTTTTTTTTTGGAGAGGATTTTGCTATAGGGCACGTGCACTCACCAGAGAGAGACAGAGAGACAGAAAGCGAGAAATCACCCCCCAGGGGGGATGGCCATGCCACAATCCCTTCTCCTCCATTCTCCTCTAGGGATCTTGGGCATGCATGCACACGTGCCCGGAGTGAGTTTTAAGCCACCAGGTCTGGGACGCGAACTGCAGTCGACTACGTGGGAGTCCAGCGACATAGCCATTATGCTAACTGCTGGTCCCACTAAGATCATATTTAAGAAAAGCAGTCCTAAGATCATAACAAATTATTTGGTACTAAGTATAAAGTTGGAATTTGGAAAGCTAAAAGAACTTAGCTCTTGATTACATTCCCTATAAGAATTAATAAGCATTTAGATTATTTAACATCAGATTTTACCCAAATCAAGCTTTCTCCCTTGTCACATCAGCCAACTATCACTTTTAATGAGGTCTTTGAGGGGAAAAATTAGCATTAATTGAGCATATGACATATGCTAGTCCATTTCCATATTTCATTTAAATCTCATATCATTGTATAAAGCAGCTGAGATTTGGACCCAGTTCTGACCAGCCTCAGAGTTCAGTCCCTTTCCATATATTTTTTGCCTATCTCAGAATAGAAATTCAATTTATACTAATTTAAGAAAAGCTTAATTAGAAGGGCAAATTTTCACTCTAGCTCTCCTTGCCTCCTGCTCTCACAAAAACAAAAATTCAAAAAGTAAAATGCAAGCAAGGTGAGAATGCACTCTCAAATCATTCATTTATAAACCCCACAGACCACAAAGGACTTCATCATGAAATAGTAGAAGCCTCGCATAAGTCGATATAGCCTCAGGTCTTGGATTTTAAACGTGTATAGTTTTTGTTTCCTTTCATACATTTTTAGGGCAAGAATAGAGCTTGTTTCTTCATTCTTTCTTGTTGATAAAGTCATTGCAAATAATAAGGCATCTAAAACACTGGTTTGGATCGGATCAAAATATGTCATTCTCATCTGGCAGGAGATTTCCTGTGCGTTTAATTTCTGATGAAGGTTAGGGTGACGATGATACACACTCTTCTGGAGCCCCCATGTAAGTAGTGCACACTGACGAGAAGACTGAGTAGGAGGTGGAGGGACATCCCTGGTCTTACAGATCTCAGTGAATAATCAGCCCTATGGTTCTGGTTTTCTCATCACTCTTTCTAACTGTAGGCTGGGCTGTTGCAGTACTTTCATGTTCTCTAGGCCAGTCCTGTGGGTATCTACCGAGGAAGATTAGAGTGCACCTGTAGCTCTCATGGGCTCATGAAAATTCTCAAAGTGGGAAAATTAGGGTTTTCCTTCTGTTCTGCCAACCTAATGCTTGGTGCACAGGGGCCAGAAAGATCACACATAAGGAGTTCAGAATCACTGAAAAGAAGACAGGTGTGAAATGGTTAAATGATCACAGAATAGTTATAATCACACCAGGAAATGAAACAAAATGTGTCATGAATATACTTACATACCAAATGAGGGTGTTAAGTTTGAATTTAAGAAAGCAGTGCTCTTTCAGTTGTCTTCTCAGTTGTCTTCTAATGACAGCACAAATTGAAGACTGTCCATTTAGAATTTATAATATGTGCAGCTTATTAAAAATCCTGTAAAATAATAGCGTAAGGTTTTATTTTTGGAGAGGTTTTTGCCATAAGGCATGTGCATTTACTTGAGCAGATTTGTGGAATTTTGAAGAGCAGATAGATTTAGGTAAGTAAGGACGATAAAGAACATTCTAGGCAAGGTATATGGTGATAGAAAAATACAGGGCATAGCTTCAACTAACAATATCAGTACCTCACATTAACAGAGGTCTGCAGTTTGCAAAGTATTTTTGGTAAATATTGCCTAAAGAGGTTGTTGTAAGGAACAAGTAAAGATAATCAGGTAGCATGCTATCAGGTAACAGTGGCCTGAATTTAGGCATCAGTCACACTGATATCTGATTGGAGATGGAAGCCACAGAGAAGAAAAAATTGAAAATAATTTAAATTTTGAACTCAAATGATAGAGAATAGGAATTGAAAACTGTCTATAAGACGTTTGGTGTGGAACTAAGTGACATAAGGACCCAGGGTACAATTAACAGTCACCTTTGTACAGCTCAATCAACAGCAGTGCTTACCCCAAGAAATGGAATCCAGGTCTTAGCCTGGTACCTGGATTTAGGCCCAGAGCTGGGGCTACCTGGGCCTCTGGAAGCCCCATACTCTGCACACCTTGTTGGCCATGGTGGATTGGTCAGCACTGAGGGTGATACACATTTGTGGGAGTGAACAATAAGGCTCCCCCTACATTAGGAGGCAATGAACGTAATTCCACCCTCAGGGATGGTGTGTTTGAAAAACAAACAAACTCATTAATCCAAAAAGTAAATCCAAAGACCTAGGTTTGGATCAAAGTTCTGTTCATTTTGATTCATGTGCCAGAGGTCTTGAACAAGTCAACCTATCTGTAATTTGGGGATAATGTATAATTGGATTGTTAAAAGGATTAAGTAAGATTCTGTTCAGTGCTGTGTAAATTATAAATGTCGTAGAACTGTGAGGAGTTGCTATTGTTACTTAATACAAGCATTCTAAAATACTAGCATTTCTGAGTCAAAGGATTTTATGAAATTTTTTACTTTTAGTTTTCAGTGACTCCGGAGACTGAAAAATGTGGTAGAACAAAGAAATGCTTGAACAAAATCATGTAGCTCGTTTTTGGCAGGTGCCAGACTCCCAGTGGATCTTTTTTGTCATTAGTTCCTCATTCCGCTGGTGTCTCAGACCCCTGTGCTGCTTCTTCTGATCTTATGGAATCTATAACACATGAAGGATGAGAAGTTGTCTTCTAATGACAGCACAAATTGAAGACTGTCCATTTAGAATTTATAGTATGTGCAGCTTATTAAAAATCCTGTAAAATAATAGTGTAAGGTTTTTCATTTTTTTTTTTGAGAGGTTTTTGCCATAAGGCATGTGCACTTGCCCGACAGACAGAGAGAGACAGAGGGCCAGAAAGCGAGAAATCATCCCCCGGGGGGGATGGCCACGCCGCGATCCCTTCTCCTCCATTCTCCCCTCGGGATCTTGGGCATGCATGCACACGCGCCTGGTGTGCGTTTTAGGCCACCAGGTCCGGGACTAGAACCACGGTCGACTACATGGGAGTCCGGCAACATAGCCATTACACTAGCTGCTGGTTCCAATAATAGTGTAAGTTTTATATAAAACATTCTCAAGTAGTATTTTTAGGAAAATTGAGTAGAAGTTTAAAATATAATTCTTTGCTTACAGTTATAAAGTTATATGCACTTGTTATATATGGCATAGTTTTTGTTATTAAAGTTTAGAAGAAGACTGATACCACTTAAGGGTTTATCTTTATTTGATTAGTCAATAACCTGTATCCAAGAGCTTCTTAACTAACATTATAGCTGTATCACAAACTGGATTAACAGGATGTTGTTCATAACATTGGCAAATCAGGATTTTACAAAATGCTGTTGGTAAACTACATATAACTCACAGTGTTTTATTTGGCTCTATTTTGTTTTTTGCTTTGTTATAGTCGTTAGTGATTGTGTCCACATGTTTTTGTCCTTTAGGTTATCTTCAAGAAGCCTACTTATGGACCAAACAAGTTCTGACCATCATGGAGAAATCTCTGGTCTTGCTCCGAGAGGTGACGGACGGCTCCCTCTATGAAGGAGTTGCGTATGGCAGCTACACCACTAGATCACTCTTCCAGTACATGTTTCTGGTTCAGAGGCACTTTGACATCAACCACTTTGGCCATCCGTGGCTTAAACAACACTTTGCATTTATGTATAGAACCATCTTGCCAGGTATAGTGAGGCGTCAGAAGTGGGAAAACATTAAACTATTGTTTCTGATTATAAAAATGTGCTAGACTAAGAAAAAAAATGAAGTCTGTGAGAGTTGTCCTACTGAAATTAAAGACTTTATTTATTTATTTTTTTTGAGCGAGATTTTTGCTACAGGGTCCATGTGCTATAAGAAGAAAGCGAGGGACCAGCAGTTAGCGTAATGGCTATGTCGCTGGACTCCCATGTAGTCAACAGCGGTTCACGTCCTGGATCTGGTGGCTTAAAACTCACACCGGGCACATGTGCATGTGTGCCCAAGATCCCTAGAGGAGAATGGAGGAGAAGGGATTGTGGCATGACCATCCCCCCGGGGGATGATTTCTCGCTTTCTGTCTCTCTGTCTCTCTCTGTCTGTCTGGCGAGCGCACGCGCTCTATAGCAAAAACCTCTCCAGATAAATAAATAAGAAGAAAGCGAGGAATCACCCCCCTGGGGGAGATGGCTGTGCCGTAATCCCTTCTCCTCCATTCTGCTCTTGGGGTCTTGGGCGGACACACAAGCACACGCACCTGGCACATTTAAGCCACTGGGTCTGGGACTCAAACCAGAGTAGATTATGTGGGAGACCAGTGACGTAACCATTATGCCATCCGCTGGCCCAGATATTAAAGACTTAAAAAAAAAAAAAAAAAGAAAAATTGAATTCAAGAGTTGCATGTAACTGGAACATTTTGAGAGCTAATGTGAGGATCTATGATTTAGGTATTGTAAAGGTTGGAACATAATAAATTGAATATAATTTCTAACCCCTGTAGTACATTTATTTTTGTATATATCCAAACATGAGTATCTATTAAGCTCATTGAAAGGAATCTAAATAAAATATAAACATTTATGATTACATGTCAATTTTCCTTTATGTTAGATCCCTAATTTTTTAGTTTTAATTTTTTATTTTTAGTTATTTTTTAATTAAAAATTTTTCTTCCAAACTATATAGATATGATTCAAAATCTAAGAATTTATCTAATTATTTAAGTTGAAGCATTAATATTTTCTTTAAATATTTTAGTGAAGTAAATAGTATCAAAAAAAGGAAATTAATCAAATAACCAGTTGCTATATAATGGCTAATTTCAAGGCCAGCGGTAGCATAGTGGTTAAGGCACTGGACTCCCACATGGCTGACTGCAGTTCAAGTCCCAGACCTGGAAGCTTGAAAATCATTCAGGGCATGTTTGTGTGTGTGCCCAAAATCCCAAGAGGAGAATGGAGAGAGGATTGCAGCATGGCTCTCTCTCCTTGGAGAGGAGGTGGAGGGAGGGGGGCAGAGGGTGGAGTTCTCACTTTCCCTCTCTTTGTCTCTATGTCTCCAGTGAGCACACATGCCCTATGGAAAAAACTTTTAAAAAGACAAACAAAAAACACTTGCTAATTTCTCTCTGTACAGTTTTACTTTCTAAGAGCACTATCTCTGAGAAGAAGATATATATGTAATTTAATAATGTGTTCATTTCTAGAGAGCTTTGTATGTTTCTCATTTCTAAAGCAGGACTAAGATATTATAAAAAGCTGGAGAGATAAATTTTCATCATGATGGATTTTCTATCCCACCTTTTAGGAAATGACATTTTTAGATGGTAATTCTAGGCCTATAACAACGAATCCAGTATTAAATCTGTAGTATAAATATGGCTTAGATAGAATTTCCATTAAGATTTATTTTATTTTATTTTTGGAGAGGTTTTTTTGCTACAGGGCATGTGCACTCACCAGAAAGAGAGAGACAGAGAGACAGAAAGCGAGAAATCACACCCCCCCCCCCCAGGCCATGCCTCAATCCCTTCTCCTCCATTCTCCTCTTGGGATCTTGGGCATGCACGCATAAGCACCCAGCATGAGTTTAAGCCACTGGGTCCAGGACTTGAACTGTGGTCGACCACATGGGAGTCCAATGACATAGCCATTCCGCCAACTGCTGGTCTCAAGATTTATTTTAGACTTAAATTCAGAATACTGCTTCATTCTTATTCTTAGGCAGGAGAGACCTATTTCACAACTCATCTTAGTAAACAATGGCCATCTAAAATAAGGGGACTTTAAAGCTCTCAGTGGTTTGTACTTAGAGCAGAGTTCTGCCAGCCAGCCACATCAAGGCATGGTTCAGCTGTGAGCTGTGTTTGTGACTGCTTCCTAAAAGATGTGTGTGTGTGTGTGTGTGTGTGTGTGTGTTTATATATGAACACCTTTAAATGGAGCATTTATATGTTGGTTCTATTAATGCAATAGAACTTCATTGAACATGGAAGGCACTATAAACACGGCAGAGTCAAAGAGAACTAAAACACATCCTCTACTTTCAGGGAACTCACAGATGTGTAGAAGATTCAGAAAATCACATTTTATAATAGGATTTACTTGAATGACCATTTACTAAACTATTAGAAACAAGAACATTAGCTATACATTATGTAAATATGGTCATGGTAGCATTTCAGAAGAGATCCTCTTTTTAAGTCAGTCTGCTCTCAACAACATTTATATTCTACAAGTGATATTCTAGAAATTATTATTTCTGTTTACCCAGAGTTTTTTTCCTAGGTTGCTTCCTTTTTTTTCAAGAATACCTAGAGCATACCTACTCTTATTTATTTATTTTTCTTTATTCCAATAAGGATACTAGCCTTTACGATCATTGCATTTTCTTCTTTAACCTTCAGCAATACATAGTAACAGGACCTTCTCTGGGAATTCAGTTTTCTTATAGCTCTAGTTTCTTCCCTGAACTTTGTATACAGTGTAACTTCTACTTCATTGGAAACCAAATTGAAGCACCTGTATTATTATCTTGGCCTAAACTGCAGGTTGAATTATGAGAGAACTAGTGCTCATTCTCCAGATTCAGGAACTCACCACATGCATGAGAATTTTTCCTGCACATATACAGATATAATTGTACATAGCATAGACGTTGAAAAAGAAGTGGGCAATATACGTACACATTAATTAGGGTTGCATCCTATTACCAACGACAAGATGTCATACAACAAATACAGGCATGCACACAAGATTTATGGAAGACTTCAGAAGGATTCTAATCATTGCTCTGGGATAGGACAGGGGCATTGTGATTCTGTTTCTTTTTATTCAAGATACACAGCTGATTCTCTTTTGTAACTAGATTTGAAAATCATACCTTTATAGGTATATGCAGTTTTAAACTGAATTCTTTTCAACTTCTTATTCTAGGGTTTCAAAGGACGGTGGCTATTGCAGACTCAAATTACAACTGGTTTTATGGTCCAGAAAGCCAGTTAGTGTTCCTAGATAAATTTGTTATGCGTAATGGCAGTGGTAACTGGCTGGCAGACCAAATCAGAAAGAACCGTGTGGTGGAAGGTCCAGGAACACCATCCAAAGGGCAGCGCTGGTGCACTCTTCACACAGAATTTCTCTGGTATGACATTGTCGGCTAGCTTTAAACAGAAATGGTATCCAGGGATATTATCCATGCTGTGTACTAGTTTTTTGTTTTGTTTTGTTTTTTACATTTAAAAGGAAAAAAAAAAAACTAATCTAAGACACTTTTTAAACCCTTTCTCCCAGCCACTTAATTATGTGTAGCTTCAATAACATAGCATAGTGTTTGAAAATCTGTTAAAAACAACACCGTTTACATTTAAAATCTATTGTTTGTAGTTTTGGGTTTTCTTATAGCGATGTCCTTGGCTTGTACCATTTTGTAGATAAGCATATTTTGATTTTACATCATTTTTGAAATCATAGGAAGTAAAACCCACAGAATTTAGACTGAATCATTCTGATGACACCCCCCAAAAAGGAATAAAATATTTCGTTTTGTTTTGGTAAACGAAGCATTATAATCTTCTAACAGCAAAGCTGTTGCTAAATTTTCAAAAGTTTTTAAGAGTGTTTGACAGTATTTGACAACTCCACTTTGATAATAAAAGGACTGTGTAATTTTTTTGCCTTAATCTTTTAAGCCCAGAACGAGAAGCTTGGATCCCCTTTTTAAAGTATTGCCAAATATATTGTTGGCGTCCAGTAAGTTAAAATCAAAATTACAGGGAACTAGTTAATCATTAATCCCTGAATTCTTTTCATTCTATTGAAATTTAGATTTAGCTCCAAAATAAGCTTTCTTATAACTTGCTTTCCTTTATTCTTTTTTTTTTAATTCAAACAAGGGGGAGAATATTTATAAAGTGGTAACTATCTGTAGTTTAACCAGCATTTTAAAACTATTTTCAAAAGTGGACTATGCTAATATAGAACCATGTCTGAGAACTTTCAGGGGTATGGAGTAATTACATAATCAAAATTCTGCTTACCCACAGATAAATAATGAAGAGAATTCTATAAAGCTAATTACAGGAATCAGACTAATGCCAAATCTAATTTAGTTAAAAATCTGCCTTTCCACAAACATGCAAACTGACCAGAAACTGAGAAAAGGATGGCCAATTCCCATTGTATCTGTATTTGTTAAATCACTTTAAGTCAGCATTTTACTAGGCCTAACTAGTGAAATAATTTCTGCTGTCCTGAAACTGAAGTAATTCTAGAACAACAGATGAAACAGACAAAATGAAATACCAATAAGATTCCCTCTAAAATAAGTGATTGAATCATTTCAGGAAAAGTATAAAAGAGTTAATTATATAGGTCTGCCTTTCTTCCCTCTAACTGTAAATCATATGAACCTGCTAAGTCTGTTTTCTCACATCATCAAACATAAACCATCATCTTCATTATTATTTTTGGAACTTTTCTGATTAAAAATAATAATTAAAGAAAAGCCTGTGTTGGGTTTTTAAAATTTTCTTTGTTTCTTCTTCTGAGACAGAGAGAGAAACATCCTCAGCAGGCTCTTCCTCACCATCCCTCCCACCTTAGTCTGCCTGGATACTGTGCACACGTGCACACTGCATAGGTACAGAGAGACCTCAAAACACAAACCTAGAATTTTCTCTGGTGGATCCAGCATGACAGATGGTTTGTTACTACTATGCCAGTGTGATTGAACCAAAAAACCCCCTGTGTTTTCAATCACTGTGAAACTTTAATATTAGATACTATAGTACTTTAATAGTACATATTTATTATAAATAAAAAATAAGCTGATTTTTGTCCAAAAAAACATGGCATTGTCTGCAGGTTAAAACCAAACCAAACCTTTAGATCTGGGCTATGTAGTGAAGTCACCTAATAAATCCTCCAATGGATTTTACCCATTTATATTTTTAAATGTGGCATCAGAAATACATTTGACCTAATATGTAAAGTTCTACTTTATTTCAATTTATTTTTTTAGAGGGAAAAAACATCAGAAGGAAGAACTGATTTCAAAAGAAACATTCAGTAGCAGCCCTTTATTACAGAACAACCCTTTATTATAATTTAAGAATTGTTAGAGTCCAGATTCTAACATGGGGTTCCCTAGAATAGGAGGTCCTCAACCAGAAATTTGGATGAACCCCAGTAGTGTAGACAGCAGCTCTAAAATCATCAAGTGAAGACAGCCCATGTAGTGAGCAGCAGAAATCATTTCAAGCTCAAGCTCAAAGATTACAAATACAAAGAAATAATCCTTTCCCAGTTACTAAGGGTTTCTTGTGCATGCTCATTATCTGTGGGTGTTTTCAGAAATGTCCCTAATGCAACTTACACTGCAGGAGCTCTGGGTAGCATTTGCATGTTGTTTCGTCCAGTCTCACTAATGTACTATCACGGTTCTGATGTGTTACTTGTATTTCCATCAGAAAACCATTCAATATTTTAAACATTTATTCTTTCAGGTATGATGCCAGCTTGAAATCGGTTCCTCCTCCAGATTTTGGCACCCCTGTATTGCATTATTTTGAAGACTGGGGTGTTGTGACTTATGGAAGTGCACTACCTGCAGAAATCAATAGATCTTTCCTTTCCTTCAAGTCAGGAAAACTTGGGGGGCGTGCAATATATGACATTGTTCACAGAAACAAATACAAAGACTGGATCAAAGGGTGGAGAAATTTCAATGCAGGGCATGAGCATCCTGATCAAAACTCTTTCACTTTTGCTCCCAATGGTGTGCCTTTCATTACTGAGGCTCTCTATGGGCCGAAGTACACCTTCTTCAACAATGTTTTGATGTTTTCCCCAGCTGTGTCAAAAAGCTGCTTTTCTCCCTGGGAGGGTCAGGTCACAGAAGACTGTTCATCAAAATGGCTGAAATACAAGCATGACCTGGCAGCCAGCTGTCAGGGGAGAGTGGTTGCAGCATTGGAGAAAAATGGGGTTGTTTTCATCAGAGGAGAAGGCGTGGGAGCCTATAACCCTCAGCTCAATCTGAAGAATGTTCAGAGGAATCTGATCCTCCTACACCCACAGCTTCTCCTTCTTGTGGACCAAATATATCTGGGAGAGGAGAGCCCCTTGGAGACAGCAGCCAGCTTCTTCCACAATGTGGATGTTCCTTTCGAGGAGACAATGGTAGATGGGGTCCATGGGGCCTTCATCAGACAGCGAGATGGTCTCTATAAAATGTACTGGATGGATGATACTGGCTATAGTGAGAAAGCAACCTTTGCCTCAGTGACATACCCTCGGGGTTATCCCTACAATGGCACGAACTATGTGAATGTCACCATGCACCTCCGAAGTCCCATCACCAGGATAGCTTACCTCTTCATAGGGCCCTCTGTAGATGTTCAGAGCTTCAGCATCCACGGAGACTCTCAGCAACTAGATGTCTTCATAGCCACCAGTGAACATGCCTATGCAACTTACCTGTGGACAGGTGAAACCACAGGACAGTCTGCCTTTGCACAGGTCATTGCTGATCGTCAGAAAATTCTATTTGACCGAAATTCAGCCATCAAGAGCACCTTTGTCCCTGAGGTGAAGGACTATGCTGCCATTGTGGAACAGAATCTGCAGCATTTTAAACCGGTGTTCCAGCTGCTGGAGAAGCAGATCCTGTCCCGAGTCCGGAACACAGCTAGCTTTAGGAAGACTGCTGAGCGCCTGCTGAGATTTTCAGATAAGAGACAGACAGAGGAAGCCATTGACAGGATTTTTGCCATATCGCAGCAACAGCAGAAGCAGCAAAGCAAGTCAAAGAAAAATCGAAGGGCAGGCAAACGCTATAAATTTGTGGATGCTGTCCCTGATATTTTTGCACAGATTGAAGTCAATGAGAAAAAGATTCGACAGAAAGCTCAGATTTTGGCACAGAAAGAACTACCCATAGATGAAGATGAGGAAATGAAAGACCTTTTAGATTTTGCAGATATAACGTATGAGAAACATAAAAATGGCTTGTTGAAAGGCCGGTTTGGACAGGCCCGGATGGCAACAACTCATAGCAGAGCCCCATCACTGTCTGCTTCATATACCAGATTATTTCTGATCCTGAATATTGCTATTTTCTTTGTCATGTTGGCAATGCAACTGACTTATTTCCAGAGGGCCCAGAGCCTACATGGCCAAAGATGTCTCTATGTAGTCCTTCTAATAGACAGCTGTATTCTATTGTGGTTGTACTCTTCTTGCTCCCAATCACAGTGTTAGCACTGAAACTGTAAACAAGATAATTTTGTGATCACAAGAATCTATGCAAAAAAAAAAAAAATCATTGCTCCTGTTTGTTATTAGATATTTTTTATTCTGATTTATTTTAACAGTAAACAATTTTTCACACAAGAAAGCCGGGACATGGAGAAATCAGAATCAGAGCGAAGATTTTATGACAGGAATAGGAGTTGCTTGGTTGTCCCATGGAAAGTATTTGACTTTGCCAATTTGGCAGCCCTGTGATTCTACTCTTAAAAGAAACAAAATGGCTGGTTTTTAAAGTAATATTTTCTTCTTAGAGGGACCAAAAAAAAAAAATCTAGATAGAATCAGATTTTATTAATATTAATTTAATGCTATTAGCAATTTCCAGGTACTATATTATGGAAAGAACTGAAGCACATAATTCGGCAAAATACAGAAATTTTTAAAACAATGTTGTCATGTTGAAAAATAAATGTTGCTAGGTGCTGGTATGGTGGCATCGCCTTCTCCAGAGAAGTGGTTCTTTTAATTATATGAACAAAAAGGTCTGTTACTACAGGATCCGGGTGATTCCGATAAGGCAGTAAGAATGTTGGCGGAAGATTGTTAAAAATGGAAACTATACATTTAATAAAAAACATATATCTGTGAATGCTGCCAGTTTCTGCACACATTCATTGGTCGTTTATATACATTCATTGGTTGTTCAATAAGTAAAACAATTACAAATAACTTAATATTGTATTTTCCTTAGGTGGAAAACTTTTGTAGACCCAATGACTATTCAAATAAAATATTTTATATCCTGAATGTTGATTTCAGTACCAAAGAAGATGGGAATCTAAAATTTGGACATGGTCCTTATGTTTTTTTAATAGAAAACTTTCTTTAAGTTTATTTTGCTGAATAAATGGATCGTAATTGTGCCTTTTCCCTGGTATCATTCTTCTTAGTTCCACTACATTCAAAATTTATTAACATTCACTCTTTGAAGAAATATCTTAATTTAGACATGCATTCAATAAATGTGTAAAGTAGGGTTTGAATCAAAACGAATCATTTGTTTACCCTCTTGTTTAAATAGATATACACTTAAGTTTGTTTATTTCTTTTATGGGAGAAGGAGACAACGGAGTGAGAGAAGCACCCCTCACAGGGTCCTCACGTTACTACCCCAGACACCTAGGCTCAGCCAGGCAAGATCTCACACGTGCGCCTGCTCTCGATGTGTGCAGGGAGAACTTGAGATGTGACCCCCGGCCCTTCCGTGTGGGTTCAGCACCACGGAGCATTGCATTGCCACCATACCACCGTGGTTGGCCCTAAACACGTTTTAAATATTTAAAGCAATAGCCAACTTCCGATACGGAAGTAACACCAAACTTTGAAAAACAAAATTCTCATCATTATTTTTAATCAAGTCCTCAGAAGGTAACAGTAGCACAGAATATTGGAAACACGGGCCACAATTTATACTCGAGCATAAGAAAATGATAGACTTAAGTGGAACGTAAGAATGAATCATTATACATTCAGCTTATTTGAATTGTCTGTTTCTCCCTTGAAAAGTGGAAAATATGTTCAGGGTGCAATCACTGATTTATAGGTCTAAATTAATTATAGTAATCTTTCCTATTGTCCTTTTTGTTTGTGGAAATATCAGTATGTAACAACAACAACAAAAAACTTGGATGGATTTTTCTGTAGTTCTAATTTGAAATCTTACAGAAAGAAAACACAAGTTCAGCTTCTAAGTGTGCTTCACTCACATTGTGGGATCTAGAAAATGACTTCTGAGGAAGTTACTATTTTTCCCTCATGGAAAGTCTCTAGGGAGGATGTCATTACACACTGTTTAAAAGAATAATGTTTTCAAAAGAATAATGCTTCCGTTTGTCCTCCACGGATGGTCTTACTGGGATTTAAACTTGCTTTATGTGACAGATTCTCCGTTTACTTAACCTCATTGGACATTCCTCCCTTCTACTCTTTCTTATTTAAAAGGATGAATTGTTTAAAATGATCAAAAGAAAATTTTGAAAAAAAAAAAAAAGGGAAAAACTGCTCTTTGAGGCTACCAAGTAAACCTGATCTCAGATTCAGAACTCAGGCGTACTTTCTATCAGAGGGGAAAAGAGCGAGTGAGTGCCAGACCCAGGATTTTTTGTTTCCTCAGGTGAACGCTAGACAAAATGTTAGTTCCCATAGCAGGAGCTATGCTAATCCTTTGGCTCAATTTTTAAAAACAATAGTAAGCATGCCCCTCAAAAACAAAACAAAGTAAAATCGCACATTTTTGTTCTTTCTTATGGACTTGGTATTCATGCAGAAATTTTTTCAGGCAGTGATGTCAGTGGTTAAGTGGAAAAAATTTCTGAAACAAATCACAGCTCTTATTAACGAGACATGTTTTATATCAAAGATGGTGTGTATTTGAGTAAAACTAAGAAACTCTTTGTATTTTCCAGAGAACCAAGTGACGCTGAATCTCTTGAAACTGAGTAATCAATTATGGAATTTGTTTTGCTACTGCTCACTAGGAAAGGAGTATCCCAAGTTCATTGGATAATATGTGAGTTGCTGTTTAGAGAATCGGCAGGATTTAGGGGTCTTAGCCTTAAAGACACTGTGAGAATCATTAGCATACAGAACCGATCTGTTCAGTGAAAGCGGGTGTTCTCTTGTTTGTAACTGACTAACTTAAAATGGCCATAGTGGTAGACGACCTAGCATCATCTGAGAGAATACTGCTTCAAGATCATCACCATACCTGTTAAAATCAAGTGGAAAACTATTCTGAAACTATTTCAATAATTAAACTTTATTATATCACCTGGAATATTGAGTTCTTCCACACATAGTTCAGAGATAGCTTTTATGTACCGTATGTTCTAAAGTTATTAGAAAATATATTCTGACAGAATAGTTTACTTACTGAATGATTTTTTAAAGATTAATTTTAATTTATGGCTTTTTCAGTTAAAAAAATTCTTAGGGCAGCTCTGTGACCCTGTAGTTAAGGCAGCCTGGTGGCTGACCACACAGTTTGAGGATGGACCTTGCAGCTCGAGAAACACATCTAGCATGTGTGCATCTGGGCCTGCCCAAAATCGCAAAAGGAGAGAGAGATGGAGAAGAGATTGCTGCGTGATCATCCCCTGGGGAAGTAATTTCTCCGGTCCCTTTTTCTGGTGCAGGCAAGCGCATGTACCCTCTAGCAACAACAAAAAATATAGATGGTTCACAAACCACTCACAGAATCTGAAGTTTATCCCAATTTGAAGACAAAACAAGCCATGAAATATGTTGTAAGTTGAAAAGTAAATATATGTGTCCCCTTAGAAATAGGAGACAAATTAACATGGATATAGTCAAGGGTAGGCGGGGCATGTAGTTTATCCTCCAAACTGGGACACCTTTGACAGGTAAAGGGGAAGCAATTAATAGTTACTCCAGGACAGTAGATACAAATCAGAAATATATGAGAGAGGAACCAGCAAGTGGCACAAGTTTTGTTCCTGGACTCCCAAATGGTTAACCATGGTTCGAGTCCCAGACGTGGTGACTTAAAACTTACGTTGTGCACATATGCATGTGTGCTCAATATCCCAAAAGGAGAATGGAGGAGAAGGGATTGCAGTGTGGCCACTCTGCCCTCCAGGGGGTGATTTCTTGTTTTTGTGTCTCTGTCTCTCTGGCAAGCGCACACACACCCTACAGCAAAAACTCTTTAAAACAAAAGAAAGAGTACATCAGATAAACAGACACGTGGCCATCTTTAGCATAAATTAATTCAGGAAAAAAATTGGATTGGGGGCATGTGAAGTTCTAATTCGTTTACTACTTAAAGGGGAACTTGAGACAATCTGATTGAGCCCTCTAGCTGAGCAAAGCGAGGTTCAGCCAAGGGGCTGGATTCTCTCTCTACTCCCTACCCTGTGATTATTCCATCTCTGTTGGCAAAGCCCACTGGCTCAATTCCCTTCTCTTTAGGTTCATGTTGAGAAGATGTGAATTTCTGCAACTTATTTAATTTATTGGCAAAAATGATATTTTTTCCAGCAATGTTTCAGCTAAATATTTGCTTTATGCTATATAGTGTCAGCTAAGTACAGACAACTTTTCAAGAAATGACAGAGAAATCAGGCATTCCACTACATGCTGTAAACATTTAGTTTTTGATCATTTCTCTTTTTAAAAAATATGTTCTGCCATAGGGCTCATGTGCTCACCAGAGAGAAAAACAGAAAGGGACAGAGAAAGGGAAACTGAGAACTCAGTTTTGGAAGATGACCACACTGTGAATCCCTTCTCCATTCTCTTGGATTCTGGGTGTGTGTGCATATACACCTGGAGTGATCTTCAAGCCTCTGGTTAGGGACTCCAGTTGCGGTCAGCCTTGTGGGAATCCAGCAGCCTAACACCACGCCACCTGCTGGTCATCTCTTTTAACAGACAGGTTCAGACATTCAGACTTCTCAACAATATGTAAAGTCACCTTGTGAAGAATAAAAATAAAGTTGAATTATGACTTGTCTTTTTCTTTTTTTTTTTGGCATTATGACTTTTCTTTTTCTTTTTTTTTTTTTTAGAGGTTTTCGCTATAGGGCACGTGTGCTCGCCAGACAGAAAGAGACAGAGAGACAGAAAGCAAGAAATCACCCCCCTGGGGGAATGGCCATGCTGCAATCCCTTCTCCTCCATTCTCCTCTCAGGATCTTGGGCACGCACGCACACGCACCTGGTGTGAGTTTTAAGCCACCGGGTCCAGGACGTGAACCGTGGTGGACTACGTGGGAGTCCAGCGACATAACCATTACGCTAACTGCTGGCCCCAGACTTCTTTTTCTTAGGTGCACGTTGTGTGTGTGTGTGTGTGTGTGTGTGTGTGTGTGTGTGTTTCCTAAACACCAGTTTCTGGTGTTTTTTTAAGTCTGTTACTTTCTTTTTTTCTTTCTTTTATTCTTTTTCTTTTTTTTCTTTTTCTTTTTTTTTTTTTTTGCCGTCAGGTGCACCTTCTAGCCAAAAAGAGACGGAGAGAGAAAGAAAGTGAGAAGTCACTCCCCCCCTCCCCCAGGGTGAATGGCCATATCGCAATCCCTTCTTCTCCATTCTCTTCGTGGAATTTTGTACATGCATACACAAACCTGACATGATTTTCAAGTTGCGGATCCAGAACTTGAACCACAGAGCTGGCCATGTGGAATCCAGAGCCTTAACCACCATACCACCTGCTGACCCTAGACAGAGCAATTTTAATCAGAGAGAAGCCCTCTGTCTCCTCCCTGGTCAGCTTGGTTGGAGAAAACTAGTGGAGGGGACTGCTAACCACTTGTGTTCTCAAAGTCAAGTGAAGAAGTGTTTGGTAGGTAGACACTCATCCTCTGATTAAGCACTGTCCTGCTCTCAGCCATGCCGTTTTTAAGTGCAGAATCCCTCTGCTCAGGCTGTTCAGAGAATCAAAGCTTCAACTGCTGAGGTCTCAGTGTACTTTTCCTTTGTGATTCCATTTTCCACTCCCATCCAGTCCCACTTTCAGAGGTACCCACTGCCCGTTCCTGAATTCCTGAACCTCTTTACAGTTGTGCTGAGTGAACTGGTGTGTTTCTCGAACGTCCAACCCCATTTTCTTGCCGGCTTGGGTTGTAGCCTCCTGTTTATTTACCATGTACTCGTCTGCTCTCTGCTCCCACAGTCTCTTTCTTTGTCACAATTCATTTACTGTCAAGTTAGCTGGGTTTTAGGAATGAACAGAAACTAATTTATATACTGAATCCTGGGTTGTAGCCTCCTGTTTATTTACCATGTACTCGTCTGCTCTCTGCTCCCACAGTCTCTTTCTATGTTGCATTCACTTATTCCATAAATGTTTTTTCTCAGGAAGAGCTAGGATATTATGTCAGAGCATAAAATATAGATTCTTGCCTTCTT